AAGCTTGCAGTGTGAACTAAACACTGAGTCATATTCTTCTCTGAAAGTGCTCAACATCTGCCATTGGCATTCAGCTTTTAAAATCTCCTCATTAGAAATTCATTAACACCTAATGAGTAGGTCTCTAAATTAGTCGCACTAGCAAACGTTCCAGTTCCGAATGGCATTCGACCACAATGTCCCAGCTGATCCATTACAATTTTTCCAGACCTTTCAAAACTGAAAAGATCTCCCTGCAGTACAAAAAGGCCATTTATTGGAACTAAGCTGCAAAAAGAGGTCATTCGGAAAGCTTTGGTGAGCAACTCGACCTGCTCAGGCAGCAAAATAGAAAAGGGAGGATTTATAATTTCATTATTAAAGAGAAAAGGATAGCGTGTAATTCCAGATGGCATGACTAACAAGCAAGATGTGAGGGGCGTTTGCCAAACTTTTACGAATTTTGGTCTTAACATAGCCTCAACATCTGTGCACAGCCTTCATCAAAAAGCTCAGTGTTAGTAAAGATGAATAAACTAAGTTTATTGTAATAGTAGCTATCATTCTATAGGTCTGACCTTTACATGGTTATGTTGTAGTATTTCAATTTTAGAGGCTTTCTAGAGGCCAATACTAAAAAAAGAGATGGGCCGACTATTCCCAACAGAAAGTTTATCAGACAATTAAGAATTTTAACTTATTTCATAAACGCACTGAAACATACAATATATTGTCAAACGTTTTGAAACACCTCTCCAAAACATTCAATTCAGCTGTTCTAATCCACTTTCATAAAATCAAGCACCTGGGCACCTAAGCACCTGCTTCGGCAAACATTTGTGAAAGAACGGTTTGCTTTCAGGGAATTCAAGTCAAGCATGGTACTATGATGGATTGTTCAATTGTGAAATTTCCTCACGACTAAATATTCCACAGTCAACTGTTAGTAGTATTAAAACAAAGGGGAAACAACTGAGAACAGCAACTCAGCCACAAAGAGTTAGGCCATGTAAAAATCAAAACAGGGTCAGCGCATGCTGAGGTGCACAGACATCATCAACTTTCTGCAGAGTCAACAGCTAGAGACCTTCAAACTTCATGTGACTTTCTGATTAGCTCAAAAACAGTGTGAATTGGTTTCTGTGGCAGAGAAGGTGCATCATCAAGTACAATGCAAAGCGTTTAATGCAGTGGTGTAAAGCACAATGTCCACTGATCTCTAGAGTAGTAGAGAGGTTTTCTCTGGAGAGAGCAATCATGCTTCTCAGTCTGGAAACCTGATGGAGGAGTCCGGGTTTGGCAGTTGCCAGGAGAATAGAACTTGACCAACTGCATTGTGCTAAATGTAAAGTTTTATAGCATATGGTTGTTTTTCAAGGGTGGATTGGCCCTTTAGTTCCAGTAAATGGAACACTTAATGCTTCAGCATAATAATTTATTTTGGACAATGTTATGCTCCAAACTTTATGAGAACAGTTTGGGGATGGCCTGTTCCTGTTCAAACTTTGCTGTGAACCAGTGCACAAAACAAGGTCTGTGAAGACAGGGTTGACTAAATCTGGTGTGGAAAAACATAACTGACCTGTGCAGAGTTCTGACCTCAACCCAATAAAACACCTTTGGGATGAATTAGAGCAGAAACATAGAGCCAGGTCTTCTTGTCTAACATCAGTGCCTGACTTCCTATGGTCCTAAACCTTGAGGAAAGTCCTCGCAGAAGAGTTAACGCTGTTGTAGCTGCAAATGATGGGGCAACTTTGTATTCAAGTCAAATATTAGGGTGTCAAAGAATGTTAATGCACATGTAAATGCAGATATCCCAAACTTTTTTTTAAGTAAAATGCATTTACAAAGAAGGCTGTTGAGAGAGCAGTTAAATAAAATGTGATGATGCTATAAAAGCTTGACCACAATAACATGACAAAATAAGATATTTGATAAATACTGTAGGATATTTTTTATTTACTAGTTTCCATACCCAATAACTCAAAAAAAATCTTCTGAAAATGACTCCTCTGCAGTAAAAACAGCATGTGTCCCTACCTGACCCTAAGCCTCTTCTCAGACATATAAACATATGAGTTTCATATAATCTGGGCCTCCCTCCATTACAACTGTGGGTGGTCTCGAACACTAATTAGACATTTATATATCAGCATGTGAGAGAATCAGGACGCTTATAGAACTTGCTATATAGCTCAAATAGGCACTGAGCTATCATTTCAGCATGGTTCACATTAGAAAGGGCTGAACAATGTAGAACATTCTAAGTAATTTATATAGTGTGCTGTAATCATTTTATTCTAGAATGTCTGTGTCATGCCAGACGTAAGGTTTTCACAACATCTGTCTGTCTGTCTGTTTATCTATCTATCTATCTATCTATCTATCTATCTATCTATCTATCTATCTATCTATCTATCTATCTATCTATCTATCTATCTATCTATCTATCTATCTATCTATCTATCTATCTATCTATCGGTTTATCTATCTATCTATCTATCTATCTATCTATCTATCTATCTATCTATCTATCTATCTATCTATCTATCTATCTATCTATCTATCTATCTATCTATAATCCTAGTGCTTTGCTGATCTAAACATGTTACTGTATGTGCACATCTACTGGTATATTTATCAGTGGAAAAACCTGTGAAAGACTTATGAATTGTGTTAAGAAATCAAAACCTAATCAAACACTTGAAGTAAGGTTTGCTGCAAAAAAAAAATATATATATCAGCACTATGACTGCAAAAAAAGAGAACTTAGCATGTTTCTGCACTCTGCACCATTTTATTGTCACATCTTCTTTGGTCTAGATCGCATTCATATTTCAAAAAATCTGAACCACAGTTTGTTTAGAAGTGAAACAATACATAATTTTTCAGCAGTCTTAATTCACTAGATACAAGCAAACTGAGACCTATTGATGATCCATTTGTTGATGCATTCAAAAAAGTTTGAATGGCACCGTTTACACATGACCAACTGAACTGCACTAACAGAATAATCACACCATAGTTTGCTTAAACCAAACCTGTCAAGTGCATTCTTAATCTAATATTATGCATAACAGATAAGGTATTACACTCTATCCTGACCCAGTATTATCTGTTCTTCTCCCATAATGTAACTTTGTAAATTTGCAGTAATAATAAAGTGAAGGAATAATTAAGTATAGCCATCCGCAACTCCCCTGATACAAACAGTCTGAATCCAAACTGTCTGAAAATACACGACAATGTCCAGCAAAATAATAATAATTATAATAATAATTAACAAACTAAGTTGCAAAACAACAGAGACTGGGAGGACATTCACTGGAAATGATCATGCTTTCCTCCTGGCCAGAAACTCTCTGTTCAAGGCATAAATTGCAAACAGCAGTGACCCAGCTGAACAGATGATTTATTGTAGGTGGATGGATGAATACAGTGTGATCACACTGTCATGTGCTGATAAAGTGGCATGGTCCACTCAGAAGTTTGGCGATGCAGAAAAAGTGTCAAAAATATGTGTCATCAAAAAGTGATGTCATGGTGAATACAACAGGTTGTTAAAGTTAGTAAGATGAACGTGTGACTACCTGATAGACTGAGGAATCTTCTTAAAGATATAATTAAGTTATTGCTAAGCCAAGGGTCCAGTTACTTTACAAAACTCGATTAACCAAAATATTAGCTAAATAAAAACATACAACAGTCAAACAGTCTCTAAATCTAATGACGACTGTGAAAAGTAGCAGCTGTGACTGACGGTGACGTAGTGGCTGTCGTGTCTGTCATTGAACAGCAGCCTTATAAATATTTGAAACGACCGTTGAGGCAACAGCACAAAACAAACATTCAATGCCTATAAAAATAATTTATTACGGAAATCTATTACTATAGTTTTAATAACTATTATTTACCCCCAAGAGAGCGTAAATTACAATAGACAACATATATGAATACAAACATCAGCATTACAAAATCAACAACCCCCATAATCGTGTTAATTATTACAATTTACAACAATACTAGTAACATAAACACTGTCACCCTTGTCGCGGACCAACGATGATAAGCCTACCTGAATACACTTCGGTTTGTTTGTGAGAGGGGCTTGCGCAAATACACTGTCACGACAAAGGCCAAACAAATTACTTCCCTTTAAAAGTTCTTCAAAGTATTTTTTGCCATACTCTAATGTTTAGCTACAAACTTACAAGCAAGCACAGTGTTGTCAAAACGATTACAGCCCCAGACGCTGTCATTGAGGCATTTCTGACAGATTAGTATCTGTTTTACAGTCGTCAACAAAAATGAGACGTGTAGTGATATGAGGTATGCTGGGATGTGTTCATTTTGAGCATCAAGATCCACCACGGTCCCTCCATGAGACGCGGTGTTCGCGCGCTTGTGTTGCTGCAGAGACTCACCTAACTTTTGCGGCAACAGAAGAAATCGCATCATTCCTTAAATTCTTCTTTTTGGACACGGCAGTTCCCATGCTGCAGTGACAAGACCGATGTGAGAAAACAGCTCATTCCACTCGCCACATCTGCAATGAAGGAAAGAAAAGCACAACGCAAACAAATCATCCGCAGAGTGGAGATACGATCGGCTTCACTCTACTCCCCGAATCAAACTGCTGCTCAGGGTCTGTGTCAGATGCTCCGTTTGTTCCTCATGTTTAGGAACGCCACATCCGACTGTATTCACTACGAGAAGTAAGTTTTTGATCTCTGGTGAAGAGAGTTTGAGTTAACAGAGCATTGTGGACGGTGAGCTGCCAGCACGCCAGAATGCGCTCGTGCACTTGCTCTGTTGTGCGCTCGCTTGCTCTCCCTCCGTCTCTCTCTCTTACACACACGCACGCACATTTTGTGATTTATGAGGACTCACCATATGCGTAATGCATTTTATACTGTAAAAACGGCTTATTGTGGCCTTTCTCGACTCATGCTCCCTAAACCCAACACTCACATAAAACCTGTGACAAAAACACGTTAATTATTTTAAACAGTTTTAAATTACGAGGACACAAATATCATCATAATCCACCTCAACATTGTAATATAGGTACGCATTACGTTATACAAAAGTGTGTCCTTAAAAACAACATAAATAAGCACACAGAGACAAGCAGCTAAGTTTCTGCTGACGTTTTAGGCCCTCCTGATCTTAAAATATTTCCTATCCACTAATAATAACCAGAAACCTTTTGCATTACTACATTTCCAGATAAACATGTTAACTTTGATTTCCCTCGTGAGGACCATTGGCCTGTCCCCACAAAGTCATAATGTCAGGTTTACTGTAGAAGACATTTGGTCCATTAGTCAAAACATGACCCCCCACCCAATCCCTCATTTTGAATGCTCCAGAAAGTGGTAATAGTACTATATAGAAACTGGCTCAGCTTGTTCTTTAACGTCAGCTTTTAAGTAGACAGAAAGAACAAACCACTGAGTACACTATATTTAATTAAAAGGTTTAGTTCTTTAAAAACTACAAGGAACTTACGCACATTTAGCAAAATAGTTTCAGAAACAGGAGAATCCTGAACTCAAGGGGTGTCAAACTAAATGCGGTATATCCACAGCTGTTTTTCAGCCAAAGGCAAACTTCCGGTGAAAGCTTTCTGTGACTATTTTAAATTTTGTGAGGTTCCTTTTACAGTATCGACATCGTAATGTAATTAAAATACAATCAGTTAAATAAACTTAAGCATTCATTTAGTTTTTCAAGAATAAAACGAGATAGACCGTGTAACTGCTAGCACCGTCAGTACAAGCAGGCTACCGCAGAAACTCAATTTAAAATACAGGGTAAAATAAACTTTCATATTATAAAGAGATGGCAGGGGAAAATGGAACGTAATGCAGTGCTACTTATCTGGTCTAAGACCTACTTTATATCAAATATCTATTAGGCAGTAAAGATCACTTTTTTTTTTTTTAAGAAAACAGATCTTAAACTTGGCTATTTTGTAATGGAAAGACAGTTCACTGGAAGCCATCGGACTGGCTGGCTGAAAATTAAAAGTCTGTGTGCTTATAACCTACTCCTAGAGGGCAGCAGTCCTGCAGAGTTTAGTTCCAGCCCTGCTTCAACACACCTATCTGTAGGTATTAAACACGCCTAAAGCACTCAATTAGTTTGATCAGGGTTGTTTGATTAGGGTTGGAACTTAACTGTGAAGAGCTGGGGCCCTTCAGAACCTGAGTTTTACACCTGTGGTAAGCATGTTTTTAATTTATTACACATTGTGTTGCTGAATAATATTGACTGTAAACTTCACACACAATTGTAAGACCAACAAAAAACTACTAATATAATCTACAATTTGAGAAAACATTTTACTGGGATAATCTTTGCAAGCCTGGTTTATTTTACTCTGAATAACTGATTTTATATTAAGGCTGATCATTACAGTGATTAGTAAAGTTCTTAGTTTACTGTACTTTACAAGTAAGTAAGAAATTCCAAGTGTTCAGTCAAAGTAGGGTGAATCCGCCACACCCCCGTGCAGTTATCAGCTTCCAGAAAGGATCAGATGTGCTCCAACATTAGGTACATTCAAATCAAGAGTGAAAACACATCTGTTTAGCTGTGCCTTTACTGAAAGAGCACTGCATATGCTAAATCCGACAGAGCACACTATTATGTCTTTCTTTTTCTTTTTTATTACCTGTTTTAACATATTTTAATCTGTTTTTATCTTTTAATCATTTTTAATTTCTTGCTTCTTTTATTCTTGTTTATGTAAAGCACTTTGAATTATCATTGTGTATGAAATGTGCTATTTAAATAAGCTTGCCTTGCTTTTCTTTTTATACCTCTTAGTGTAACTGTCATAATATATAGTTAATTAAATGACTAATGTAAAATGAACGAGTTCATGAACAAACACAATTTAAATAACACAAACAGCAGGCTGCTTTACTGAACAGACAGATTTTAATCAAAATCAATGCCAGATTTTGGCTCCCACAGATTAAGACAAGCGCACTAGAAACAAGAAAAGCTAATGCCAAAAAAAACAGGAGTCAACAAACAGCCAGATATTAAATTTATTCCTTTTTAGTAGTATTATTACAACAGTAACTATTTGGTGGTGTCCATCTTGTTTGTTGAGGAGTTAAACTGTAATTATACTGTGTTCATTGTTCAATTTACTTAATCTTTCTTTAAAACAAAGCGAGTGAGAAATATCTCCTGCCTCATCATTACCATTTTTGTTAATATTTCTAAAGAAAGACTACTAAAATGTACATTCTACAACGTTTACCTACGAAGACAAAGCTGAGACAAATATCACAATATATTATTGGTTTGCTTCCACAATGTTATTTGTAATGTTTTTGAAATAAGGACCTATACCCAGGTGACTAGTTGAAGAATAATACAAAGGATATGATGAAATGTCTTTAGATAAATAAAATAGATATAATTCTGTTAAATGCACATTTAGTGAAGTCCAACTAGATATATTATTGTGTTGTGTTGTGTAATGTTTTATTGTCTTTCATCGTGAATGTGCTGTGGCTGGACTGAATCCAGTCTGCCTCTGCATTGCAGAGTTCGGGCCGAGAAGGCATAAAGAAAAGGGTTCACGCAGCTGTTGATGAAGAAAAGAGCCCCGGTTATATTGTTACTGACTTCTGATTCCCATGACACTTTGATTGCAATAAAATTGTTGATCATACAGGGAGTGCCAAATAGGAAGAAGGTCACTATGATTCTGATGGCCAGTTTTGTCAGTCTGTGTCTTCTGAAAGAAGCTGATTGATTTATCCGTCGGTGAAGTTGAAAGTAGAAGCTTAACAGGCTGCAGAGAGGCGCAACAAACATAACCAGATTCTCAAAAAGCAAGACAATTACTTTTTCGTGATGAGTTGTGTAATCCTGATAACAGTGTAGCAGCCCATCCTTCTTCACCTTGACATTTCTGAAGTAAAGAGCATAAGAAGCCAAAGTTCCACCTAAAGTCCAAATGCCAAAAATCAGCCCTTTTTGGCCCTTCTGTCCAAGCTTCGCCCATCGCTGTGGATAAAGCACCTGCAGGTACCTTTGCACACTCAACAAAGTAACAGAAAGCACACTACTGTAGAGGCTCCAGTAGACGACATAGGAAAACAACTTACACAGTGCTTGGCCAAAAACCCAGCCGTTCAGAAGGGCATAGATCCACAGCGGCAGAAAAATCAGACTAAGTAAATCAGAGACAGCCAGACTCAGCATCAGTTTTGGAGTGAAGCTTCCTTCTTTTATATGACGAGCAAGCAGGACCAGCACCGCTAGATTACCGGGTACACCAAGCACACAGCACAGACCCAGAACAGTACTGGACACCACTGAGGAATGAGCAAACGAAGAACTGTTGAAAATGCTCTGGTTCTGCATGGTTACCTTACAATTGCTGATTTGAATTGAAGTTTTAGGTTCTTGTAACTGAGGAAGCAGTAATAGGAAGTAAACATTGACCACAGTTGTTCACACTTACCTGCTGTGCATGAATGTTCTGTTCATTTTGGCATCAGATGCACATCTTTTGGCATATGGTGCACAGTTTTTTAACACCTTTTTAATGCATTGAAGTGAACGCATGCTTATAAGCTGAGTTGCCACATATCCTTATACATCAGAACTGTTTGCATGTTTAGGTTGATACTCATTTAACCACTTCCCCTGGTAAACAGCTAAATGTGTATTCACCCACACACCCTGTAGAACAATAGTATTTTATTTATGTATGTATGTATGTATGTATGTATGTATGTATGTATGTATGCATGCATGCATGTATTAGGGTTGTCGCGATACCATTAGTTAATGTTACAATACTATACCAGCTAAAGTATCATGATAATAAATAGTATTGCAATACTGTAATTCATAACTCAAATTATAAAGAAAATTGTCAGAAATACCATATTTTTATGTTATAATAGCCTTACTTTAATTAAATTCATAATTCCCTTAATGCCAAAAAGTATTGTTTGCACCTCACTTCACATAAAATGTATTCATTCTTTTTGTTTATTTTATAGATAACTGACCAACAAAAATACATTAAAATAAAGATACAAATTATACCGAATGAAACTAGTTACAAAAGAGCATTTTTCCAACAAAATTAGGCTATCTGAAGTGGTCAAAAATGTTTTAATAGCTACACATCATCCACTTATTTTTATGCGAATTTTGTATATGCGCATAAAAATGGTTGATGGAAACGACGAGATGCGCATACATTTTGAAAATGCGCATAAAAAACATGCGTATAACTGAGTGGGATAAACTTTTTATTCAATAAGAAAAGATGGGCATGAACTATGATGGAAACACAAATTCCAGTATGCATTAAAAAAGGTCATGTGATTTTGTTATATGAGATCATGTGATGATAAAAATGTGTGCGGATGGACAAACGGGCAGGCTGAGCACACTGTAAAACATATGTTGCTTTGGTCATTCTAAAATGCTCTAACCATTTCAGTATTAGTGTTATTATATTATTAATGACCTCCAGAATCAAGAGTGTCTGAGTGTCCACCGCACTCTTACTGCATGTCAGGATTGCCTTCTGAGGCGCAAGTCATTTATTAAATGAAGAAAAGATTCACGCAGCTCACCCCAGCTAATTCCGTTTTCACTGTTGATATTTGGAGCCAAATAATCAGGAAGTGATTTTGTTTTCTTTGACTCATTGGATGGAAACGCTGCTTTATTCTCACATCTTGCGAATAAAGTCCCTGCTCCATCTTGCCTCAACTCACCTGCCTGGATGTTTCAAGTATACATAGTAAGACCTTGATTA